TCCCCCCCCCCCCACCCCCCCCCCCCCTGTAGTTAGGGCCCTGATAATGCTAAGTCACTGTATGCCTCGCAGCTACCCTTTATACCACCCGTAATGTTTGAGAACCATACAATAATGGTTCTAGTTCTTGTTGGTATTTTGAACGCACACTTTATCTTTAGTATAGCTACCACAATGCTTTTCGCGCGGATTATATTTCGCGCAGTACTAAAATTTCCGCACCCAGCGGCCAGCGCTACGCAATTATGAAATTTTGGGGTTTTGAGTCGTTTAATTTAATACAAAAAGAAAAACATTAATTCAACCGGCAAGAAAGTCCAGAGTGCGACCCAAAAATTAACACAAGTACACAACGGATGTTATGAGTCCACGACGTATATTTATAGATGGTATTTTAATCTATCAATCTATTTACTGATTAGTCTATTGAGCATAAATATAGATGTATTAATACATCGACACATCGTATACCCATGATGTTTGAAAGACTTGAAAGGCATAGCTTAGTGTCGTTAAAATTGTTAAAACTGCCCGACAAAACTGCAGTATTACAATATTGGGGGAGGGGGTGTCCCACCTCCCCCCCCCCCTGTAGTTACGGCCCTGATAATGTTAAGTCACTGTATGCCTCGCAGCTACCCTTTATACCACGGTATTTTAATCTATCAATCTATTTACTGATTAGTCTATTGAGCATAAATATAGATGTATTAATACATCGAGTCATCGACACATCGTATATCCATGATGTTTGAAAGACATAGCTTAGAAAATGGACGGGCATTCTGCAATCGCTCCAATAGAGTTACAAAAGCAAAGAAAAGCAACTGTGGAAATGGCGAATATAACTTAATAAAATATGTCAGATGTCATCACCACACAAGATATAAAGCCGCAATGTGTCCTGCTCAGATTTTGGCATCTCAACCAAGCAACTACATATTTTGAAATCGCCAATTGCACGCGCAAGGCACACTGGGAAGTGCATCTAATAAGAAGAGTATCCGCTGAATGTTTTGTTTAAGGGTGCGTGTCAATGATGCGTCTCACTATCAATGAAGAGTCCGACTGTCTACGGAAAAAAATTTGCAGCGCCGCCCCCGATTAAGCACTGCATATGAGAGCCAAATTAAATTATTAAAGAGCGCCGTCCTCGAATAATCGCCGCACATATTCTGAAAAATTGTTGACGCCCAACCGCGGAAGGAAAACGCCCTGGGTACGAAGTGGTAATCTTTAACAAACCTCGTTGTTTTTTATGTCATATGTTATTGCTAATATTTCTTATCATCGCTTACAAATAAAATATTTTATAAACAGCGCCGCCGTCGATGATCAAGCGTCGCCCTCAAGTCAAGTGTTCAACAATAGATGCAAGCAATGTGTCTTGCGTGATACGAAATTTGCAAGCGAAACTGACTACGGAGAAGATCTGATTAAATTAATTCTGTGCCATTGAGTTCCCCTTGTTAAAATGCCAGGACTACAATCTACAATCTTGAGGTATTAGTTAGTGGTGTTTTGATGAATATTTACATGAGAGTTCACAATACAGTTAGATAAAAAGCAAAGATAGATAGAAAGCAAATGAAGATTCATCCAAAGGACGGCAACATGAACGCACATCCAACCTTGAGACTGACATGACTGATGTACGTACCCTGTCGCTAACCAACGTACACCCTCCATATACTATTATATATTGTTGCGACGATGTCCAAACAATCATGCATCTGAAATATTACTGATATGCACAACTTGTTTTGCTCCTTACATTTAAAAAGTTACTCCTTTTACAATTGACTTCCAGCCTTCGTACAGTCAGTCCAATTAGGTCAGTTCCACACCACATTATATAGAGTAGAGTTCAGTAATATATTCAAGCAATAAATTATACTGACAAAATTTGCATGCGAAACTGAGATCTATTAATCTTTACCAGTAACTTCGACTTGTTAAAATGCCCTAACTACAATTTAACAACCGTGCTTAGACGAATATCTATCTAAGAGTTCCCAATACAGTTACGTAAAGAACAAAGATGATGAAGCTTCATAAAACTTAAACCGGCAGCAACATACACGCACATCCAACCTTGAGATGGACATCACGTTGTACATGCTGACCATTTGAATATACTTTGATTACACTTATAGTTGCTTCGATGTTAATACAATCACCATCAATATTATAATTGCAACTTGTTTTGCCCCTCACATTTAAACCATTGCCCGTGCTACACTTGACTTCTTTGAGTGTTGATGGAAAGTACATACAAGTTGAGCAACTGTCCGTGTCCAAACTACCTGTATTTACAACGTTTTCGTCTTTTTCACAGGGATCTCTGTATGCATGGGTTCGCTTTTGTCTCAACCAAGAAATTTTCTCCTCATCGTATCTGAAATATGAGAATTGACTTTTTACACATGATTTGGTAATAAAGTTACATATAAAACAAATGAAACTGGATGAAGTGTACGAACTTTGTGAAGTTTATGATCCTCTAGCTACCAGGGGGCTATTCCTCTTTGTGAAGTAAGCAAGCAAGCAAGCAAGTTCTACATGGCGTATCCAAATAAACCAATCTCGTACAATCTCGTAGCTAAATCGAAAACTCTCTAATACCATGCACCTTGTACTGCGCCTAACTTTACGGGCATGCATGATAATGGTTTGTACTTACTTCAGGAATTTCCTTAGATTTGAACTGCCACGTTCCATGCGAGCAACTGATTTGTTAACATGAATCATGATAAACAGGATGGCGGTTAGAACAATATTTGTCGAGAAACTCTAGGAAAAATATGTAAAATTGTCTCAGTTATTTCCTAATTCATTCACATTACCTAACTAGACTCTTAGACATGGGTATAGAAGAGAGAGACTTATCTGGGGGGGTAAAAAAATGATGCAGTAATGATTTTAATAATCTGTAGTTGATGACTAGGATCATTAGATAATTTATGTGGCTCCAGGATCAACATGAAAAAATGCCAGTATATGAAATCTTATGAAAGTTATTTCTTCAAAACAACATAATTGAAGAATTTGCAAGAACCAAAAACACATGCTGCAACTTTCCATGTGTACATGTTGCACCTTTCACGCCTTTTCACCCCTGCATCTTGTCACTCCAACCCACCCTACCCCACCTCTTTGGATAATCTACAATCTCATGCAGAAATTATTGAGACAAATAAATTAGCCATTGCCCTCCCCCCATAAACAATGTTGGACAGACGATACAAAGTTATATTGTCAGGTCAAATTTTTTTCTCAAAAATTGTATAGGGGGGGAGGGACAGAAGTAATCACGGAAATTGAACGAAATATCAAAAGTTGCACGAGATTGTAGTAAGCATTAGCTTGTTATCATTTCAGTCCCACAACATTGCTCTTAGAATATACTCTACAAAGAACTACATTTTATGAGTTTAGTGAGTGTTTGCTAATCATCCTTGAAACTTGAAGCTAAGATCTAAGCTGAATTTCGAAAGACGCATCTGAACCGACTTGCTTGAGTCGAAGGCGGCTTTTCGAGGGTGCCCTGGTAGCCACCTCGTGACTCATTTCTGCTCATGGAGAACGACGGATACAGTGAAAGATAAGTTTCCAGAGTACCAGAATTAGATAACCCACGATTTTCGATTCGGTAGAACGGTAGACTCTTCACATAAAATGTCATGAGTCCGCAGCGAGCATCGAAGACGTTTTAAGTATAAACTAAGTATAAGATTTTTTTTAAAATAGTACTATGTTACGGCGTATGAACAGCTTCTGCAGCAAAAACTTCCTATCAGTTCAATGATTAAAATTAGTTAAAATTAGTATCAATGTTCGTACAATCGTACAGACAACAGAAAGCTGAATTTATGACGTGAACAGATATAATAACCTCCTCCGCAAGTCGCCTACTTTGTCTGGGATAAGTTCGCATCACGAGGGGAAACGAAACACTAGTAATTATGAATAACTTTCTTACAGAGGGAGAGAAAGACGAAATAAAGAGAAGGTCCTCTGTGATATATTATCGAACTGTTTGGACAACACGTGATACCCATTTAGACCAGCCGAACGTTAGTACCCTTGACTGAAGACAGGAATTTCCGATTTCCGGTGGCGGATGTGCAACTTACTCGTAGTCTCTTATCATTAGCCGTACGGGCGGGAAAATGAGGGAAGGGGAGGGGTGGGTGGGGGTGTGGGATTTTGCTCAACGTTGATAGACATTGCCAGTTTATTAATAGATGGGGTGTATCTTCTGTTCAGATGCGCGGAAATGCAGATAGATAGTCAATCGTAAGAGATAGATAAAAATATATGGAACTATTTACGAGTATTTCGATCTGGTCATGGGATTTCATTCTCTAACTGAGCTACGTCGAAAACTCCTTACTCTACTGCATGACATTCAAATGTAATGAAACCAATTTCAATCTGCATGGCATTCAGTCTCTCTGGCAAAATACATTATACCGAAACTACCGAAGCGGACAGGCCTAGCAGATTGCGAGATCTTTAAGTCGAATCTGGCCGTCTGGGGGTGTGTTTCATATTGATAACAAAACTTATTCTTCCTTTTGCTCTTCCTATATAGGCTATGCGCAGCCAGCGCAGGTGACTTATGGTTTTGTTTTTTTATGGCATATACCGTTCATCGTATTTGTTCCCCGCGACTGAGCATTTTCTCGCTCGAGCGCTATCGAAATTATGTTACTTGTAACTTAGGAATGTGTATGGGAAATACCGCCATACATGTACCAGCTGAACAATCTGAATTCGACAATCATGCAGCAATATTCTCGTTATTTCTTAAAGATAATCATTTCACTTTCAACTACAGTAAATACTCATGCTAGAACTACCTCCCAAAGGACAAAGACCAAAGTGAGTTGTTTGCCGCGAAGAAGGATATCATTGACATCAACAACAAGTAGTCTATTATATATTTTATCATATATGCTGCCAATATAGATCAAGGATCAATCACTGATTCGAAGTTACAATTAAGTATTGGCTATTGGACTACTGATTAAAAAGAACTAGATGTAGCAAATTACTATGCTGTATTGAATTATAATTTGAACAACCATTATATCATGTAGTAGTGCATATTTTAAATCTATATAACCTTACCTTTAGATACATGATGATAAAACCACTTGGAAAACCTCTGTGCAAAGACCTGACATATACTGTATCACCGGAAAAACTCTGTTGACTATATACTTACACTTGTGCCTACGATAGTTCCAAACCTCTTTGTTTAAATATGTTATTCAACTGATTCTATAAATAAACTCTTGCATTGCATTCTAATTTTTCTTTTAAGTTAATTAATGCGTGAGCGGTATAGTGTAATACTCGAAGCATAACGAAATAATAACCCGCCGACGACTATGATGGGATACATACTTTGACACCTCGGCCTGTGAACTAAAGTAAAGTAAAGTTATGTTGAGTTGTTGTGGTACTTGTTTATACTGTATATAGTTACAAAATACGACAATACAACTGACTTGTTAATTTTAATTCAAGCGACTTGATCTCTATTAAAAATGAGTGGTAACAATTTCATTATATAGTTGTAAGTTTGCATAGTAACAATAATTTTACCATGTTCATTATCCACGAGAGTTCAAAGTATAATTTTTAAGGTCCAGGCTTAATACGGATTGAACTTGGCTAAACGAATAGACATGGTATATTTTCGACTAAAGTCCATTGCGCGCGTGGTAATTAACTGGCATCATTTTATAAACTTCTTATCATTTAAAATTATCTTTACTTGGCAGGAAGTCATCGTATTGTTTGTGCTTGAAAGACTATACAAAGAACTTCCTTAATTATGTAATTAAACCAAATATTAAACAGTTCTATTTTGCATAAGTATAAAGAAACTTTTTACAATTTGCATGCTTGGTTTGGGTTAACTTGAGAATTAATCCTGAGAAATTCTTTCACCTTGTTCGGAATATTCCACATTATTTATTCTGACTTATAGTTACTTAAATAACTTCTAGTAAAAGTTATATATACTTTATTTTTCCATTTGATATGACAACGGGCGAAAAATTTGGTTTGGTTATGCCAACGGTCTCTTTCATCCAGTTCCAATTCAGATCCTGGGTGATTGACTCCCGCCATCTGGCTCAGAATTTAAATTGAATTTTATATTGAAAACAGAATTTGTCTTTGCAACTGATTTACTATTTTTGGAAGTTAACTATAAGAGTTATAAGAGTTATTTACACAAAACAAAAGTGCAAACTAAGCTAAAACTAACAGAAATTTAAGTAGTTCGTCACAAATTACGGAATGAAAGAGCTTTTAAAACGGTTCTACATGTATTCTGTTTCATCTGATTCCGTGGGTGGGGAATTATGATCTGTGTCTGAAGCCCATCCCAAAATGGGTATGCGGCGATTGAACGATTAAAGCGACGATTGAACGATTTTAACCCACAAAAACGTGCGGCTCATGGTAACGGATTTTGAGAAGAAGAAGCTATACAAACAATCTAGAAGACAATCTTCTTGTCGATTAAAACTCTATTTGATTATCCTTTTCATTCATTAATTGATGCGCAAATTCAAAACTGAGTGATAATAACGTCGAGTTTTTGTAGCATAAGGCAATACCGAATCGAGATTCGAGAAAATGTGAGGATGCCCAGAATGGACCCAGCGAATAGACGTAAAATTATGAGGATTCCTTTATTTCTCCTCTCCCCCAATGATTGACATCCTTGCTAATTAATAGTAGGGTGCTTTATGCAAGCAGCATATACTCTTGATGGCCAAAGCTAGAGGTCTCTGTGTTGCCTACTTTTGAAAATATTAGGGCCATTTATACGGAACAAAATAAGACGCGACTTACATAAGACGCGACTTAAGTAAGACGCGAGTTTGTCGTATAAAAGGTACAAAATTCTTATGTAAGACGCGTCTTGGATAAGACGCGTCTTACATAAGAACACCTCTTTTAGCTGTTCTTATTTAAGTCGCATCTTAAATAAGAAATTTTGGACAAAAAGTCTAACTACACATGCCAGAAACTTGAAACAACGTAAAATTTAATGCCTTGCATATTAAAACAAAAACAGCCAAAACAACATATTATAGCTATAGCAAATAAATAAGACCAAAGCCGTAGAGAACCATTTATGCGATAACTCCACTTATTTAAGTCGCGTCTTATGTAAGTCGCGACTTATTTTGTCACGTATAAATGGCCCTATTGTCGCTGGCATGGCGAAACAAAATATGACCACTTGGAAGCAATACAATCCTCGAAATTTCGAAAACAGTTTTGGCTTTCCAAGTTAAATTTTTTGTTGGGGACAATGTTTTCTGTGAATTGTTGAGGTTTTCATCGCACTATATAGCTATCTGAAAAAAACTGCGAATAAGAAAACTTTCTATTAAGAAAGTTTTGAGTTGGTCATGTAAACCCTCGATACGGATTACGGAAGTGCAACATTCAAGAAGTTGAAACTAGATTCGTTTTCAGTCGATCAACCTCGTCCCCAGGGTCTTCTTTGTGATGGCGCCCTGGGGACGAGGTTATTTGGATATGCCATTTTGCAACATACTCAGGTGAATATGATGCTTGTGATGTTACCCTGAGTGTATATCTACACCTGGCAAGCTTGAAAAATATGCCTGTCCACGGTGGGAATCGAACCTACGACCTTTGGAATACTAGCCCAATGTTCTGCCAACTGAGCTACGCGGTCAGATCGGTTCAGTAGAGTATGTGATATTTCGGAACAGAATCTAGTTTTTTCGATATCAATGTAATCTAGTAATCATGATTTTTTTTCCAGCCTCGTACCCAGGCGCTTTGGCTTGTTTACGTCATTAAGCGCATGTGGGACGGCACGCGAGGGAGAAAAATGAAAAATTCGAAATCGATCAAATTAATCCACGCAGCACACGCAAAGGCCGCGCAAGCAATGGCCTAGAACAATACATAGCGCCTGGGTACGAGGCTGATTTTTTTCTGTGTTGGTGTAATGTAGTCAGGTGAATATGATGCTTGTGATGTTACTCTTGAGTGTATATCCATGACTGGGCAAACTTGGAAAATATGCCTGTCCAAGGTTCGATTCCCACCGTGTAGACTTATCATGATGAGCTCTATCAACACTGAAAATTTCAGCCATGCAGTTTGTTCAGATTGGTAAAGAATTACCTTATCTCAAAGACGAAAAATGCCGCATTTCGGGAAAATGGCTGTAGGTATAAGTTATCAAATATGAACTACCAACTGTTAAGATATAGGCTACCTATATATACTTCATATTTTAGACAATTAAAATTGTGTTGGGCATCCCTCATCATACAATTGTTATGTGAAGCCATTTCTTTTTCAAGATTTACTTATTTAGCTTCATTTTAATTTAAATTTTGATTTTTCGACCATATTCAATTTGCTTCCAAATGCTGTTATATCTCGCATCACCACTTAGTTTTAATTTCCTGCAGTTTGATGATTGGTTTAAAAGATGTTCCTGTGTTTTAACTTAAAGGACGTCCCAATCCAGTTTTCAAGTGAAAAAAACTAAACTTTACATAGGCCTAATGTTCTTTGATGAACCCACTTGCTGCTATAGCAACGATGTTTAAAGATGCACACGGTACCCATTGTGCATTGATATCTGTATTAAAATTTATAGGTAGAGGCATAGATGGGTAGAGGAAATTGATCTTCTGATATCATAATGTTGTAAATTTGCAATAATTACTAATTACATTATATTAAGAATGATTTGCCTCCTTTGGTTCATTGGAACATTTAACATTTAACAATTATTGAATGAGGTTGAGCACGATATGAAGAATTATCAAGCCCTCAGTTTGCCGTTATCAGGCGAAGCCGAAGGCTGAGGTTGATAACGGCAAACTGAGGGCTTGATAATTCTTCATATTGTGCGAAAACCGAATTCAATAATTGTTTTATTATTTATTTAAGAAATTCAAAACAAACATTTGTATATTTGTATTAAGAAAAAAACATTCCTTAGTCCTTCGGCAGCCGTCGTTGCGTCATATCAATGGCGTCAGCGAGTCAATATGATTCTCCTCGTCCAAATTTTTTTCATATTGACTCTTTGACGTCATTTTGCTAATATGAATGTGAAAAATCCGTATTTGGTTAGCCATTGAGTTGATATGACAATTTCACAGTTGGCTGTTAGCCAATCAGAAACCAGGGATTTTTTAAATAAATAATAATTCGACTTATTGTATATATTACTAGTAGAATGACCAGAATCAATCATTCAATAATAGAAAAATACTTACATCATGCACAGCTCACCATATACAGAAGAAACGTTTGAATACCGGCTCTGTATATATATAAAATGGCCAAGAATTCAAATACGATTCGGAGATGACTGTTGACATTGAATCATTTGAATGCACAAATGTGTTCACGTTTTATCGACGTCTTTATTGCGCATTTCTTACCCCATGCATGCAGTGAATAATTTTTCGTTTAATGTTTTCTCTGAACCATTGTTAGCAGTTTAACCATATGTTAACAAATATATACACACAACTTTTCAAAAGTAGTCAATATTTATGAAATATTGAAACATCTTTTTGAGTTTGTTCTGTTTGAATTACTAGTTCTCGAAAAAAACGCATATACGCCAGGGTTGCCACTCTATATAACCTAATTTCACCTAGCGCGGGCACTGAAATTCCCTACGTTTCCCCTACAGCACTGAATATGCGATTTACCCCTATGTTCCCCTACAAATATTGTAGTTCCCCTACAAATATTGTAGTTCCCTTACAAATTTGTATAATTGTAGAGTCTAAATACAAGGAAGAGATTATTTCGCTGTCCTCAGAGTGACAAAACGTACGTAAAGCCGGTTTTCCACTTCAAGCGTACCGTAACGAAACGTATCAAAAACGTTTTTAAATTTCAAAATTTCGTGAATGTTGATTGGTTAGTACTTCCGTAGTACGCCAAAAAGTTGACTTGCGACGAAGTTTTTATTTTGATACGCGAATACACCCGGAAGTACGTGGATTCATAAACCTCTTTTCAATCTGCGCATGCTCACCAGTACGTTTCGGTACGAAGTGGAAAATCGGCTTAAGGTTACAGAACACCTTTGAGTGTTAATTTTGCCTAAAATTTTTTTATTGGTCTCCATGAAAGCATTAGACTAGTTCTACTATCTGACCAAGTTTGAACAAAAAATGTTGAAAACTCGCAGAGTTATTTAATAAAATAGATTTCGCTGTAATAAGAAAAACATTGAAAATGTAATATTCAAATTCAATTTTCTCCCGAAGAATTTTACGGCAATTACTGATTTTCAAACGAGTTGTGCTCCTGCGGGTTTTAACGAATTTCTCTCAAATTTTCACAGCACATAGCTAAAGACGTCAGTTTCAAAATCGTGTTCGGCTTTGTTCTAATTTTGGATACTTTAATAATAAAGAGCAATTCACTCAAACAATTCAGAAATATATTGCAGTCGTCAAAGAAATCGCCATATCAGCGGAATGACGAAATAAACAAAAATTTCCGAACACAATTTTTTAGAACAACTATTTTACTGTTTAAAAATGATATTTTCATAAATATAACTTAAAACCAGCAGGAGCACAACTCAAAAGCGTAACGGTACCGCGATTTACGATTTTCCTGAATAATTCTTACATTATTTTATTGTTTGTTAATTTTATAACTTTACCATATTTTGCATGCACTGGCGAACATTTGGTGAAAATTTGATGAAAATCGGACTGATTTTGAGCGCGCAGTAGCGATTTTTCGCAAAATGCCAAAAAGGGTGTCCTGTAACCTTAACAAAGCAACGGTTTTACTGACAATAAAGGCCCACTTCCACTCAAGAAATATTTCCACGAACAGAAAATTTTGTAAAATGTGATTGGCTGACACAAGTTTTCCGTCGGAAAAAAATTTTGAAGTTGAAAATTTTCAACTTTTAACAATGATATTTTCGGAAAATTTTCTGTCTGTGGAAAATTTTCTTGAGTGGAAAATTTTCTTGAGTGGAAATGGGCCTTAACCCTATTCCAAACACCAACTCTAACCCTAATCCTAACCTAACTTTACTTTATGGTAAAGTTTGTTTCTAAACCAATCTTAAAGAAAAAAGTTTTGATGAAATATCATTCTTGAAATACAATCACCAGCGGTGAACTGCTCATAGGTGGGACAGCATCAAATTCGTCGCTAATTCGTCACTTTGATGCTGTTCCACCGCGTAAGGCGGTATTGTCGTATTGTCAATAGGTATTCTTTACGTCACGTTCGTCGATAAATTTGCCCGAGCTATCATCAGACCATATTCTTTAAGAGAAACCTTTGTGAAAAGATCTGATCGAATTTGTTTCGCCGTAAGACAAGTATTTGACTTTGAAGTCGGACCACTATTGATGAGCCTTTACCTTCTATATACTATAATGACGAGCAACACACAACATAGGCCACAGAAAAGGTTGCATAAACCATTCTAAATGAGCTCATGGAGTCCATTATCCATCACTCCACATTGTTCTTCGAGAAGAGAAGGAAATATTGCAGAATGCTCGTTCTCTAGTAATATCGTATCAAGTAGCCCGCGGCCACTATTTCACTGGATGTACTATTTAAAACACGAGTAGGAGTGTTTTATCAGATATAAAACGCGAGGCGCAGCCGAGAGTTTTATATCTGATAAAACACGACAACGAGTGTTTTGAACAGCTTAAAATACGACTACAAAAGAATTCTAATTAGGATGAACCATTCAGGGCCTTTTTTAAGGATTTTCCCGTGGGGGGGGGGGGCATTTTTTGAAAAGGGACTTTTCTGTGATATAATATATTAGAGGGGGGTAGCAATGGCTGAAGGCCACGTGTGTCGCCAATATACCACTCATGAATGGGGGGTGGTCTGGGGGAGTATTCCCCCAGAAAATTTTTTAAATTTGAATCCCGGAAATGTCATTTCCTGCATTCTGAGCATCCAAATTTGCTCCAAAATTTAGGCCAACTATAGAAAATTAATCCCCAGAAAATTTTTGAAATTTGAAACCCGGAAATGCTATTTCCTGCATTCTGAGCATCCAAAAAATAAAAAAAATATTAACAATAATTTATCATTACTTAGTGGTAGAAAAAAGTAACAATTTAAATCGATTTTGTTAAACAAGGACAAAGGATAACGCCTAAAACTTACTTTCCGTTTATGTATTTGTTAATCTTCGCTGGTTTGTTTCTATAATTTTAGGGAAAAGGGACTTTTCCTGGGGGGGCAAAATGTGATTTCGTGGGGGGGCACAAGGGGGGACTGGCGGGGCATTTGCCCCCCCCCAGCTTGTATGTTAAAAAAGGCCCTGTTACAGAGATTAACTGTTCTGGAGCAAGTTTGGTTATGGATGATATGTTAACCACTGCATCAGCTGACTTGACTGTCATGTTCTCTTCAAAACTGAAGCCAACATCAGCTTTGCTGAGAGGAGTAATTTTAGTAAATTTGGTGATGACAATGTCTTTGCTAGAGTCAGTTTTTTTGAAGTTTTGAAGTTTAATTGGACTTCTTGTCTTTGCCACAGTTTGTAATTCAGAATGCTTATCAGGGGAGTAGCACACTGCTTTGACTGGATCATCTTTCGCTTGCAATGTGCAATTGAAATACCTTTTCTTTGAAGGTGTCGTCTTGACCATGGAAACATTTTGGATGTAACAATCAAGTGAACTGACACCAGCCTCTAAAAAATAAAAAAATATTATTGAATGGTTCATGTAAAAACTGTAAAACAAGAATAAGAACTTAGGGGTGAGATGGAAAACCTAAGACAATTAACAGCCTTTTGGTTTTCAAGATAATTGGGTTTCAAAAAATATAATTTGCCTTACTTAGCTAGTAACTACCTCTCCATAAGCTGCTTTTGTTGGACTAGCACTTGCAATATAAGTAAATATTACAGTGGAGGAAAGTTTATCAGTAAACAAATTGTTAGTATTGAATTGAGAATAACACTGTCAAAGTGATAAAATTCAGGGGTCAGTTGTATCAAGCCTGTTTAGCTGAAAATAGAAAGAAAGTCTATAGATTCATTGAACAACCAAACTAAAAGTTTTGAAGCTTAATAGAACGATAATGTTTACAAGTACATAGTGTATTGAGTGCAGAATATTTAAGTTGACTGATTGACGAGAGATATGAGTGTTATTTAATTTTGCTAATAAGCTAAACAGGCTTGATACAACTCCCCCCAGAGTAATAGCTGACAAATTGCACTTGGCAATGTTGTTTAGCACTTTTATTGTGGATGGCCAAAATGGGACTTGGATAATGATCTGATAATATTCAACTGGAACTCACCTTGAGTACCATCTTGTTCATTCATCTAAAGAAAAGATAAATTTACTACTTCTGAAGTGGGAAGTGAAGTTGGAATATTAAAGCTGATTTCATATCACATATTTGTTGATTACACAGTTTGTCTCAAAAAAGCAAAACCCTTAGAAATTCACCATGAGTTTCTGATTTGAATGTCTTAGAATTGTTGAAGCCCCAGGTGTGTACAATCAATCAGCTATAATTTTATGTTGTCAAACAAAAAAATGTACAATATAACTTCCTGAGCATAAAATTCCATTCAATTGTGTTTATGCTCCCATGAGTTCAAGGTACGGCAGGTACAAAACGCAGGTTGCAGGTTGCAGGTTGCAGGTTGCAGGTTGGAATTTTGCAGGTTGGGAATTTTGCAGGTTGGAATTTTGCAGGTTGGGGATTTTGCAGGTTGGAATTTTGCAGGTTGCCAGGAACTTTGCAGGTTGATAGTGCAAACTTAAAATTACACCACTATAAAGTATTCTAGACTTCTAGTAATTTAATTGTGTACTTATTGGAGTCTGACTCCTTGTCTGCGCTTTTGATATCAGGTTATCCTGCTGCCATGTTCCTAGCCTCTGCTCTAAGGATGTGATACAGGGGGACGAATGTCTCGTTTCGAGACGCCTACATGACGTGGCGGCAGCTCAGTTGTCTCTCCTCTGTACCCACTTACGAGAAGTCCGACTCAAGCCTTCTGAATAAAATTAATATTCAATGTTAACTAAGATTACGAATGGCAATCTTGACAAAATAATAGAATCAAACAATAACGTGGAAAACATAAATTATAACTGTTAACTACAAAAATCATTGTACAGTATACTTATTAAGAAACCAAAATGTTGGTTTTAAAGGGGCAGTATGATCAAGATTTTTATTTTCTTAAACGAAAGTGCTCGTAAAACTGTATAATAACTTGTTTTGAAGATTTTGGTACCCATGCTTAGTTCTTGAGATATTTCAATTTGTTTGTAACCATGTGACGTCATTTACTCAATTACATATATAATGAGGTATCAGTAATTGTTGTGTATTTTTGCTATTTTTATCAAAATATTTCGAAAGATGCGGCGCGTTTGTTAATTTTACCTGCATCATTAAGCATACTGTGTTTTTTAACAAATCGATCAAAAATAGAAAAGATACACAACAATTGCTGATATCTCATTATATATGTAATTGAGTAGATGACGTCACATGGTTTCAAACCAAAGAAATATCTCAAGAACTAAGCATGAGAACAAAAATCTTCAAAACAAGTTATTATACAGTTTTACGAGCATTTTCGTTTAAGCTTTGGTTTAAGAGAATAACAATTTTGATCATATTGCCCCTTTAAAGATCATGAATTAATATAGCAATCTAATTTAACAAAGATACAGTAGTATGATACGTACTGTATGCCACTATCAACTGGTGGATTTCACCACGCCTTATACGAGCACACGAAATGTTAAAATGAAAGTTAAAAAGTAGGGTGTTTTATATTCTCTTTATATATCATTACTGCAAGAAAAGAAAACCTGTATGCACCTCAACGTCCGCTCTGGTTTGGGTATATGAATGTAATTCTCAAGCAAATTGCATGGATTAAACCATAGTAACGAAACCTTACATTCTTCATGACGAACAAATCAAACTTTAGTAGTATTTAAAAATATTTAAATCATATTGTCACTGTTTAAACAGTTAAACTAAACTAAACTGAACTAAACGCAAGTTGGTATCCCGACTTTATGTTACTATGCAAAGTAAACAAGAGAGATTACACAAGCTGGATTCGACCCTCGGACGCCCTTTCTGGACCCCTTTCTAGGCCTACCCATCTGGACCCTTTTCTAGGCCTTCAGCTGATATTAGCATTTAGGAGAATAAATTAAACATAAATTTTTCATTAATAATATTGTTTCACATATATATACAATATTTTTCAGCAACTCGCTACATTGAGGGTAAACTGGTAGGTTTATTAAGTGTTTTCAGATTGATTTACATCAACGAATTAATTAACAACGATTTGCAATACAAATAATGTTACACGAAATTTATATCATTTTACAGCTGAACATGTTGGAGTTTGACCATAATTTCATTTTATAATATAAGCTCTTAGGCTTATAGGGTCATAACGCACGCGTGACGACTGAACCAACGAAATTTCGTCTAACATTATTTGCTTTACTTCGTGCAATGTCATTCGCATTAGAAATCGATCGTTGTTGCTAATCGGGGTAAGTGCTTAAAGGCAACGGTCACTGACTAATTAATTCCATCAAACATTTCTAGCAAATCCTTCAAAACTGAGAATTTACTTATGCAAAATTCCCACTGTGATCAGAGAAACTTTAATAGTGTAAACCCATGCAGCCTTAATAAATCCATCAGTTTGCCATCGATGAATAACAAAAGCAATATCTTACTATAAAGTAGCGAGTTACCAAAAATATTTTGTGTTATCTGATGGAAAGAATGTTACCATTTATGAAATGTCTATTTTTAATTTTTCTTTTACTTGAGAACGTCCAGAAAGGAATCAAGATCGAAATGGGTCCAAAAGAGTCCAACTTTTGTAACCTCCGATACCCTCCCAATAAACAAAACATTAAACTCCAAATTGTTTCGAAAGTCATTAAAATCCAAATTGTTCCATGTGTGCTTCAGTTAACTTGTCCCTGGCGCTCTTGGTTATTGTTTTTGTTAATTGGTATGCACCCAATGTTTTTCCCACCGTTCATTGAAATCGGAATTGTTTCGAAAGTAACCTCGTATGCGCCTCAGTCAACTTGTCCCTGGTGTTCGTTGTTATTATTATTTCATCTGCAACCAATGCTTTTTCCCGTCGTTGTAAGAGACAATCTTGACGCGGATGGAAATACACGTTCTCCTTTGATTTTGAAATACGAAGTTCTATTGAACCGCGCTTATTGTACACTCGTTTCTCTTTGTGTCGCAATACGATATTCCATGGAACATTCGGTGGCTCTGACGATGGCGTCTCTCTCATCTACACGACAGAATATATGTATATTTAAGAATTTGTTTGTTAAGATATAGGTTAATCCCTTGATTAGCTAATAATAAGACCAAATATTTTGACGATAGCAACATTTGCAGTTTGCACAATAAAAGTGCACCATCACTTAAGGTCCATTTACACCGGACGCGATTAGACAACGCGACGCGATTTTGCGATTTTCACTGAACGATAACTTTGATTATACTTTCATCCTAGTTTAAATTTTCCAAATATTTAGAAGCGTTATTTGGTCTACATATCTTTTAAAATTTGCTGTTATTGACTGTTTTATTAACGTTCAAAACTAAAAAATCGCGTCGCGTTGTCGAATCATGTCCGGTGTGTCTGGACCTTTAAACGTTTTTACTCCAATCAGTAACAGGGGTTAAAAATCTTACCTTTTGTTCACAACCATAGCATGTCGTAGCTCTAGTTTCAGAAAGAAAAACCACATGATATTTGTCATCCTCTGACGCGTTTCGCTCGCTATATTTACTGGTATCTCTGTCGCTGGTCTTTTTCTTTTTCTTCCTCTTCTCGTTTGGTTTTTTTCCTGACCCTGCTGGTAAACTGGTCGACAACTGCCGAGTTAGGTTTGGCTCCCATAAAAGAATAATGTCCTCTAAAGTCTTTAGTTTGTATGCTGTAGCAATGACATGCGCACATAAATTCTTGGATTCGTAACCTTTGCAGTCGCAAGAAATTTTCTTTCCAGCATTTGCTATTCGGAGTAAATGTGGTTCGTCTTGTGTCAAAGACATGCAGATCTTCATATTACTTTGTCCAGGAACATCGCCTACGCCATCCGACCGTACAATTTCATTTGCATTTTTCCACGAGCCACGAAACATTTCTGGTAAACCACTGCCATCGAATGAGCCGACAATGTCAGTATCTGTTTGCCCACTCTGATTTGTATCATTTTCGCTACTTTTAAAACTTGAACAAATGTCTTTTTCTGTCGCCGACTGATCTACTTTTCTGAGCCGTTTCAATTTTGACCGGTCTGCCATTTCGAGCCATGTGTGGACGTCAACTTGCAAATCACTGTAAGCTGGTATCAATTGATATGGGCCTTCACCAATTATAGCTCTGTGAACATTTCTTTTTACACGAGTGACCATATCTCTGTATTGGTCTGCTGCTTCACTCCATGTGCATTTTCTTTCTGGAATTCCCGCTGTGCTTTTCTCCAATTTATGTTGTCGAATTTGAAGCTTGTACTTGGAGTGCAAAGATTCCGGTCCGTTGTTATAAAAGAATTTGTCGCCCAGGCCGCATATGTTTCGTACAGGTTTTAACATGCTGGCCTTCATATCACGTGCAATGTGTCTCACAAAGTATTCGTGGAACTTGGGAGAGTCGGAGTTTCGATCGTTTTTTTCTATTGTGTTCCATTTTTCTTTAATGCTCTCAACCTTACCATCAAAGTCTGCTTGAGTTTCGCAATCTATAAGACCTTTCTCCTTTTTGGCCTCACTACCGAAAATATCTTGAATAATGACAGTTCTGGTAGCTGTTGAAATTCCAAGTTCAGACATCTTTTGCGCACAGTTGTTCTCTACGTGTCTCGTGCAGGCGAGGACTGTTGCAACTGGAAGGGATCTCCCAAGACCGTTTACCATTGCCTTTTCTCTGTCTGCCCCCAATGCAATTACACCGTCAATATCTTTTTCTAATTCAATTAGTGTCTGACCAAAGTAATAAAACTGATTCTCATCTTGATGAATATGTATCATGGCAGGTCCTGGCATCTTTGGATGCTGTCCTGTTGTAGTTTCAATAAGTTTTCGGTGCTCAAATGTCGTTGTTGTAAGATAAAATTCTCCGATATTGAATGTAGTATCTACACAGAAGATTCCGAAACTGTCCGGATTACAGCAGTTGTCAACGATTCCTTTAAGCTGAAAGTCACTGGCTAAAACTGCCCGAGGGGCCGGGGTCCACTGAACATTACGAATATAATCGGCTTCGTTTTGTGCCTTGTCTAAAAAGGTGGCTAATTCATCTCTATCATTTGTTGGACGAACTTTGGTTCTTTCATACTTAACTTGTCTGACATTCCTCGGAATTTCTGATGCTGACTTTATGTTGCCGATTCCTCCTTTTTCCTGAAAGGTATCATCATAAATTTTGATCGGTCCTGCTGGACTTTTCACTTTTTCGCGAATTTTTTCCTTCGTGCTTGGCGCTGTAGGGTAGAACTTCCGGTTTTTCTTTTGATTTCCATGTTTTTTAGGGGAAACACCGTGCTCTGTTCCATCGAAGTAGTATTGAAGAAATCCCAGTTCTGTTGGCTCTCCATCACTATTTAGTATTTCTGTGGATCTTCGCTTAAAATCAGCATAATTACTGTGCCTCCAATACGTTGTCATAACACAGTACTGATTTGCCTTCATTTTTGGTCGCTGCTTCACTCGCCTTGGAAGAGGGAAATCATCCGTCACTTCTCCATTATCTACTGTAAAAATACGACCCGATGAGCCTTGGTTTCTGTATGATCCATGGTCGTCACACAACCAATCATCCTTGTGGTCTAGTTGGGAGCGGTCTATTAAAAAGCTGGCATTTTCTTGCACCTTTAGCGGTCTCTGTGTACAGACACGCGACATATCTGGTTTGAGAAGCAGGGCATCAATCATTTCTCTGTAATCAAGAACCTTCTTTCCTTTTATGTAGTACGGTGCTTTTTCAATGTCTTTATAAAACGATGGTTGGTTTTTTGGGAAATCAATAAAGGATTTACTGTAAAGAAATATGTTAAAAATTATATATATATATATATATATATATATATATATATATATATATATATATATATATATATATATATATATATATATATATATATATATATATGTATATGTATATATATGTATATATATATATATATATGTATGTATATATATGTATATACATACGTGTGTGTGTGTACTCGAACTTGGTTTTTTCTTCATTTATTTCCAAGAAAAAGCGTCGCATTTTTTAATAATACTTGTTCAAAAAACTCATAAAACTACTATGTCAAATGTGTTACGACCCCCCCCCCCTCTTCAAATTTGTTTTTCTCCACTTCATTCCGGTAAATGGGCTGGCGTGTATATATGGAGTGAAATGAAACAGGAACTTTAGATTTCAAAAGTCATATATACTAACTGAATGTACCTGGTTTCTCCACTTGAAACATGTTCACTTCCATCTCTCGAGGAATTGCTTCCCAAACTACTGTCAGAATGGACGGAAATACAGTCTACATCTATTTTTGCCTTTTTTGCTAGTAACGTTTCCATATACTGTGTTCCATCTTCATCACTGGATGATATTGTACCATCAATAGGATGATCATTTGCATGAAAATCATGAAAATCACGAAAGCCACTTTCGTTGGTCGACTGACAACAGTCAGTACCATCTGTTTCATCACCAAAATCAATATTAGCAGCATCACCATTAGACTCGTCCTTACGAAGGTTTTCTGTGCCAGGTGGCAGAAGAGGCGGTGAAGGAAAGAGTGAAGGGGATAAAATTGGGGAGATTGGCTGAGGTATGTCTTGCATGCCAGGTGGTGGAACGAGTGGTGTCGGGGAAAGTGAAGGGGATACTAAAGAAGAGATTGGATAGGGCACTGGAAAAGAGTTTGAAGGGGGTACTGGAGATGAGAGTAGTAAAGGGGATGAAGAAGAAGAGAGTGGTAAAGGGGGTGATGAAGAAGAAAATGGAGGGGATACTGACGAAAAAAGTGGAGGGGGCACTGGAGAAGAGACTGGATTAGGTACGGGAGACGAGACTGGATGAGACACTGGAGATGAGAGTGGAGGGGGTACGGGAGAAAATAGTGGATGGGGCACTGGAAAAGAGTATGGAGGGGGTACTGGAGAAAAAAGTGGAGGGGGCACTGGAGAAGAGGCTCGATAAGAAATCGGAAAAAGAAAAGGAGCAGATGGGGGCAGTTCAGGGCTCCACATATTCATATGAGGATGTCGAGGGAACATGACTGGAACAGGTGGAGGATACCCTGGGTGAAATGGAGGGATTGACGTCATTCTGGGATAAGCGGATGGAGGCACGCTGATCCCTAGCTGAGGCAGATAGGGAGGTGGTGGCATCCTTTCACCGGTTTGACGCCAATGTGTGTCCGGAGACAATGACTGACGAGACATCACAAAAAACTAAAAATCACAAAATTCCCTTAAATACAGCTTCTTAATAAGTGTTACTATTATACACCAATACTCAAAGTCGCATTTTTCTAGTGTTTTATTGGTCTAGAGCATATCATGTAAGAGTGACGAATTAGGCTGTCTCCCTCGCAACAGCGAGAGGGAGATAATACGTTATCGACCGGCGAATAACGAAAAATAGTCACGTGAAGATGCGACCTTTGGACATGCCTAAAAGCGCGTGATTTTTTTAGAAAACTTTCCTTTAATTTAACGTTTTAACAATAAAATTTTCATGTATTTACGTTCATTTGTTCTTTAATTTGTTCTTTCTTTGACTATTGGTATATAATAAAATATTTAATTACTGCGACCTCGGGAAAGCAGCATCGACGGTCTCGGGTCCACAAAACATACCGTTTCCCTCGCTCCCAGTAAATAAGTGTTAATTATTACACATTACTAATACAATCTCTGTTTTGATTGGCTGCTGGCCTACGGATAATTCTTGATGTCATGTAATTCTGACGTTACAACTGGAGACAATGGTTGTGTACATGTAGATATGACGCCAGTCAGCTTGTTTACAGTAAACACGAAGAAAGAATAAACATGGCGAATTCTTCAAAGAGATTCGCCACAGTAATTGAGAACGATTTACAATTTAAGCCATTGGACGAAAAGGAAGCGGTTAACACTAAACGAGCTGCGAAGACAGCTGTGAAAGTTTTTACGAAGTATATAATAGAAAAAATATAAGCAAACCTCAAGACAAAGTCAAAGAGTCAATTGATTTGTTTTGCCTTGATTAGTTATAGTATTTTCCAATTTTCCCTTTGTCATTCTTATGCGTAATAAAATAATTATTGGACTCGATTTTCGCGTGATATCGAGAATTATCAAGGCCGAGGTTTGTGCTATCCGCCTTAGCCTTCGGCAGATAACACAAACCTCGGCCTTGCTAATTCTCGATATCACGCTCAACTTCATCCAATAATTATTTATAGTCTGGCATGAGAAAGGTTAATGGAAACAAAATGAGTATGCATTGTCATTGTCAATGAATATGCTCGATTGCAGTGTCAGATTAATATGAAACTAGTTTTTCGTATCTCTGAGGATGGTTCTGAAATACATCCTCTGTGAAAACCCCCTCTGTAATAATCTGAGATGGATCTACTAGTACCGGGGATGCAGGATTTGCAAGTTCGCGATTGAAATATTCAAGTACTAATTAGGTGGGTTGGCGTGGACCACTTGCCTAGACCGTGTTATAAGTTGAGCGCATGAATTTTAGTGAGCATAGATCTGCCTTTGGTAAAAATCAAACGATTTCACACTCACAGGTGGCTGTTAGCTAATCACAACTCATGATTTTATAAAATAAATAATAATTATTTAATTTAACTTCACATTAATTTGCAATTAATTATCTTGTATAATTTAAGCCATTTGACTTATATATGCAACATTGAACACATGTTGATCCTAAGGGACTGAACCAACCTGTTGATCCTAAGGGACCAATCAATAATTACAGGGGAGGGGGGGGGAAGCGTGGGGTGTGGTCAGATATTTTTCTGCATGGAAAAGGGGGACCAGAACGTTTTGTGCAAGTGGTATTTATTCCATTTTGTTAGAATTTGTAAGAATGCTTTTTTAACCACAACTAGTAAATTTGATTGTATTTATGGGGCTCTACGAGGCCTTAGATTTCAAAATTTTCCCGTGGTAGCATACCCCCGGACACCTAGTAAGCGCATGCCTTTCACGAGCACCTGAATCCAAAAATGGTCCATGGTCTCCGTCGTATTAGGCCAAAAAACACACACATAAGGTATGTATTTTTTCTTATTAAATATTGTGTGAGGAGGGGCAGGGCCTTTTTTAACATACAAGCTGGGGGGGCATTTTCCCCCCCCAGTCAACCCTTGTGCCCCCCCCCCCACGAAACCACATTTTGCCCCCCCAGGAAAAGTCCCTTTTTCCTAAAATTATACAAACAATTCAGCGAAGATTAACAAATAGATAAACGGAAAGTAGGTTTTAGGCTTTATCCTTTGTTCTTGTTTAACAAAATCGATTTAAATTGTTACTTTTTTTACCACTAAGCCATGATAAATTATTGTTAATATTTTTTTTATTTTTTGGATGCTCAGAATGCAGAAAATAGCATTTCACGGTTTCAAATTTCAAACATTTTCTTGGGATTATCCCTCTAATAAGTAATGATAAATTACAGTCTTTTATTTCAAATACAACTATAGTTAGCATAAATTTTAGAGCAAATTTGGATGCTCAGAATGCAGGAAATGGCATTTCCGTGGTTCAAATTTCAAAAATTTTCTGGGGGAGTACACCCCCAGACCCCCCATACATGCGTGGTATATTTGCCACACACGTGGCTTTCAGACATTGCTATCCCCCTCTAATATATTATCTCACAGAAAGGTCCCTTTTCAAAAAATGCCCCCCCCCCCACGGGAAAATCCTTAAAAAAGGCCCTGAGGAGGGGGGGGTTGAATAAAATTCATATTATCCACAAGGGGGGAAGGCAACTAAATTCGAACATCACATTTCTCATTTCCACAAGCCCCCCCCCCCCCTCTATGCTCGGTCCCTAATTAAGACAACTAACCTAAATATTATAAGGAAAAACTAGCGTTCAGAATTGGCTGGGATTGGTCAGAACCACGAATATGTACAAGCTGTATCAAGTATCATATGCCTAATATCAACGAAATATAAATGAATTTCAGGAGAATAACTTAATAAGGCTTGTTGTCTGCCTAACTCTGCACGTGAACAGAGTTGAAGACTTAAAGCATAGAAATAATACATATATAATGTGTGTTCCAACCTCCACAAAATGGCGGATTTCAAAGGCATTTGACTCGTCCCAGACTACTGTGGCAAAAAATATCGCGCGGTTGCGGGCAGTTTGAATTGTTTTTTTCAACAAATTTTAGAAAAAAAAACTTTCATATCGAAACTTAAAATGGGAAAAAAGCTTTGTAAAGGAATGGAACGTTTTAAAAACTCATCCACGTTGGGTTTTTTACGAAAAACGATTGTTCTAAACAGTATATGTACAGAAATTGTCGTTTAAAAATACAATTTGAAGGTTGTTGTGAAAGCCGAAACAGAACGCAAAAGATCAAGACAAACTTAACTCAATAGGTATATTTTAAAAATATTTCAACTGTTTAATTAAACTTACACAATTTTTTCATATTTTTCTACGTTGCTTATTATTTCTATGGCTTAAATTATAGTTTAAATTTACGGATTTTATTTGTACTAACCTTTTTAAATCGCAATATGAGTACGTGACATCAAAATCAGAATTAATGCTGCCAGTGAAGATGTGTTTCCACTTTCCAAAAAAATAATTTTCTGCCTAACCAGTTATAAGCAGGTTATAACCAGTTATTTCTTTTTTCACAAAATTTCCTTCCAAAAATCCCTAAATTTCCTTCCACTTTTCGATTAAATTTTTTATTAAAATTAACAAATTTACCAGGTAATTATAAATGTTCGTACTGTAGCATAACGAGCATTACGGTAATTGGGGTCTTGAGTCGGACTTCTCCTAATTAAGTGGGTGGCAGAGGAGAGACAACTCATTCAGGCATTTAAGCTGCCGCCACGTCATGTAGGCGTCTCGAAACGAGACATTCGTCCCCCTGTATCACATCCTTAGAGCAGAGGCTAGGAACATGGCAGCAGGATAACCTGATATCAAAAGCGCAGACAAGGAGTCAGACTCCAATAAGTACACAATTAAATTACTAGAAGTCTAGAATACTTTATAGTGGTGTAATTTTAAGTTTGCACTATCAACCTGCAAAGTTCCTGGCAACCTGCAAAATTCCAACCTGCAAAATCCCCAACCTGCAAAATTCCAACCTGCAAAATTCCCAACCTGCAAAATTCCAACCTGCAACCTGCGTTTTGTACCTGCCGCGGTGATGTGTATTTGCAAAAAGCAATATTATTTCCTTCAATAAAGAATATTCATCCTGCTCTAACCGAGAAATAATCTACTCAGTCTGTTTGAACCCATTAAAAACATAAAAAAATTAGGCTATTTAAGAATACTAAAAATTTAAGCGCCTGCCTTCCATGGTCAGTCTTTCATGTACATTTAAGTTTGCAAAGACCTAATATTAAATACTTGCATAATTTCGAACGTTCATATTTCAGGAAACAATGAGCTAAGACTTACATGTAAGATGTCTAAATCTACGCCATATCCCTTACAAACCTTAACGATAATTCGCTGAAATACAAGTTAGCCTAATATGTCATTAAGCAAACAAACGCTGGAGTTAATATTTGATATGCCAATTTTCGCTAATTTTAGACACATTCCAAAATATGCTCCCCATTTTTAAGATTAATATCTCCGTGAATTTTTAAGTTAAATACAACTGTAATATATCAAAATCTAAGTTAGTCCTTCCTCTATTTAATGCAAGTTATTTCTCTTTAAAAACTTTACTTGTTTAGAAGTTATTACGAATCAAACAGGAGTACTTTTTTTTGGGCCACCCGGTAGATGGGTAAAAATCCACAATATCAAATGAAATAAAACTGTGCCTGTCTTTATCGTTTATATTGCCAAACCATGAAATTACTTGTTGCATATTTCTCCATTGATTTGAATTTAGTTTTTGTCTCAAATTGGAGATTCGCTTTTTGCGGGATTAATTAGTCGGCATTTTGGATTGTTTTCGAAATTTTCTTTGTGATCTTTTAAAGATATAAATGCTTCGCGTTTTTTCTGTCGCCAATTCCTAACCTACTCGAAATTTCTTTCAATTCGGAGTCAATTTCATGTATGAAGTCCTCTGATCCATGTTTGTACGTTTTCGTGATGTTATCATGTAAGAGTTTGTTGTATGTGCACAACCGATTACCGGATGCAAATATAATTGAACGAATGAAAAAACGCGAAGCATTTATATCTTTAAAAGATCACAAAGAAAATTTCGAAAACAATCCAAAATGCAGACTAATTAATCCCACAAAAAGCGAATCCGGAAAACTAAGTAAGGTTATTTTAGATAAAATTAATTCCAATTTGAGACAAAAACTAAATTCAAATCAATGGAGAAATACGCAACAAGTAATTTCATGGTTTGGCAATATAAACGATAAAGACAGGCACAGTTTTATTTCATTTGATATTGTGGATTTTTACCCATCTATTTCCGAAAAACTTTTAAATGAAGCATTGGCCTGGGCTTCGGATTTGACTACTATTACCGAAAACGATATTTCAATAATAAAACATGCAAGAAAATCTCTACTTTTCGGCAACGGCAAATTATGGACAAAAAAAGACGGAAGCAACAGTTTATTTGACGTCACTATGGGTAGTTTCGACGGCGCTGAAATTTGTGAGCTGGTAGGCCTTTTCATTTTAAATCACTTAGGTAAGAGGTTTGGCAAGGAAAACATCGGACTTTATAGAGATGATGGTTTGGCTATTATAAAACTAGACAAAACTAGAAAAGAGCTACACAAAATTTTCAAGCAATTTGACCTTAAAATCACCGCCGAAGTAAATATGAACGTTGTAAATTTTTTAGATGTTACTTTCGACCTGATCAACGCAAAACACAAACCATACAGGAAACCCAATGACAATCCATTGTACATCCACAGACACTCAAACCATCCACCAAGCATTACAAGACAATTACCTACAGCTATCAACAAACGCATTGCACTTCTCTCATCGGACGAACAAACATTTAAGGAATCCACACCTACATACCAGAACGCTCTTACACATAGTAACTTTGATCATGAATTTACGTACACTGAGAATGCACCGCAACGGACACGTAGGAATAGGCAACGCAGCATAATTTGGTTCAACCCACCATTTAGTAAGAGTGTTAACACGAACATAGGACGGGAATTCTTAAGTTTAATTGACAAACACTTCCTGCTACAGCACAAACTACACAAGATTTTTAACAGAAACACTTTAAAAGTAAGCTACAGTTGCATGAACAACGTTAAGTCTATAATCACCAAACACAACGCACATATAATTAGGAACAGTCAATCGCAGAATACGGAAACTGACAACTGTAACTGCGACAACAAAAACACTTGCCCACTACCGAAACAATGCATGATCAACAACATTATTTACAAAGCAACAGTCACAACAAACAACACGAACGACACTAAACACTACATTGGTATGACAGCGACTACATTTAAGGAACGTTACGCTAACCACACTTCTTCGTTCCGTCATAAAAAAGACTCAAACAAAACGGAACTTTCGAAACATATTTGGAAATTAAAAGAAAACAATCAGGATTATACCATCAAATGGTCAATTTTAAAACACGCTATTTCGTACACAGGGGGATCAAAACGCTGCAATTTATGTTTGGAAGAAAATTTTGCATTTTGAAAGACATAAACAAAGACAATTTACTCAATGAAAGAAGCGAAATTTTCGGCAAATGTCGTCACAAAAACCGGTTTCAAGTAAACAAGGTCGTTAACAAAACCTAATGACCCAAGCATGCATTGTTTCACCTAAGCATTGTTTCGCCTACACACATTCCGCACATTCTTTCTGTGCTCGCATATAAATATTCATTTCTGTTCCTTCAATAAATTATACATGTTTTGCGCGAAAAAATCTGTTGATTATTTCGTCTAGGAACAGTGTGAATGTCAGTTGAATTTGGTATGTGTGCTTTGTGATGGGTGAAAATGATATGAATCTAATGTGTGATGTGTTGATTTTTGGTTTCGGAATGTAAAAATTGAAGTTTACTTACTCGTATAACTGTCGTGAACCGTACTCTGATTGGTTGAGGGGAGTACAATTATTTCATTAATTGTACTGCAGTACAATTAATGATTTTCCCAAAACAAACAAAATGGCGGAAACTACGTATTTTAAACACAAGCGTGAAATGAAATTGCCGTGGAGGAACTAGATGAAAATACGAACAAAAGCACCAAATTTTGGTTGAAAGTCTGGCAGGAATGGGCTTTGGGGAAAGAATACGATTAAGAAGTATGTATCCAATTTTGTCATGCTAATAATAAACGAGTATTAATCATGCGATGTTGCTCGTACAATTAGGTATTAATAATACTCGTGATGTTTGGAAATTTGCCAAATTGGACTCACCCTGGCGGCCTGTCCAATTTTGGCAAAATTTCCAAACATCACTCGTACTATTAATCCCTAATTGTACACGCCATTAATGTAAAGTTGATTCAGTTGGTAATTATTTAAACAATTTAGAATAACATAACATTACAAATGGTAAGCCTGGTATACAGCACAGCATACCAAAAGAGTTACATAATGCCAAAGAAGGGACATGAATGAAAACATTTTGTTGTTTATATGTATTACTGTGTCTGTGCCACTATGCCAGTGTAGGTAGTATGAATGCAAACTTGCTAGTAAAATACCAAAACACTGCGGCATCCGCAAGTTACCAGTTGTTTAATTTAATAATCATTTACTAAGAAGTAAGAACGACTGTGACATACTGTATGCATACTCAGTACATCACTTAATTTTGTAATTTCAAGAAAATTGTTAAAATTACTTCATCAATTATTAAAATAGTAATATTGTACCTTTATCTATATCTCCCTTACTGATTCCACAGTGTTGGTAAAATTCCCTCAGTACAGAAGGACATCCCAACTTGTTAGCCTTGGCACAATGCTTCTCGCAAAATGCATGGCCACGTTTTGGTGACACTGGACAAACACTTGGGTAGTTCACATTGCCAAACCCAGGAATTGATACAGGAACCTTCCACATACAATGGGCGTATCGCAATTTCCAATTCCCATCTGCCACATACAGCTTCTCACAACCTGAAAATAACACCATAATAATACTTCTGTTTACACTATATTATAGTCTTAATATGCTTGACATCTTTTGAAAATATGATTCCCAGGGAATAAACCTGGATTTAATGCCCAGGGAAAAACCTAGATTTAATGCCCAGGGAATAAACCTGGATTTAAATAGGTATGAGTATGACAGAGTAATCAGCAACTTATACAGTCATCTTGAATGTAAAACCATGCTCAGCCTAACCAAATGAATGGCACCACTCTCCTCTTGATGAGTAAAATTGTTTGGCAACAGACAGAGTAAAATGATTTGGCATTAGACAAAGTAAAATAATCTGGCATTAGACGGAGTAAAATAATCTGGTGTTTATGGGGGGTGGTGTTTATGGGGGGTGGTGTTTCTGGTGTTTACAGGGGTATACAAATCTGCCGATCCACCCAAATTTGAAGCAAAATAATAGTAGGGCACATTGGGTGCAATGCGACTCAAAGGGTTAAACTAATAATGTGAAAGTGCCTGCATAATTAATTGCTATAGAAATGTTTATAATTAGAGGTTGAGCATTCAAAATTGTTTAACAGATAAAGTAAGAACTGGATTTCCCATGTTTTACAGAACCAGTTGCAAAGAAAACTGGTTGACTGGTTATCAGATCATAGTTTTTAATAACAGACACATAATAACTTTATTCTACCAACCTTTGCTTTTACAGTGCTCTGTACATGAATGGGAGTACAAATTATCACATCGGATTTTGTCGATCATCTCCATTGCCATGTCAAAATTCCCCGATAACTCTCCAGACTCCTTGCAAATTGTCCACTTTTCTCGAAGACCTAGGGATGCAAGTTCTTCTTCCACTTCCCGATGCCAAAAACACAAAGCAACTACCTTTGGTGACAACTCACCTGGCAAAATGCCTAGAAAAATTTGACATCATTGAGAAAATACATAACTTATTTGTCATACTACGTAATATTACAGTAAGCCTGAGGCTCTGTGTGTAGCTCGCATCCAGCCTTTGTCTGTGCCAGCCCTAACTCTTCTTTAAAGTACCCGGTAGGGAAGGAAGCATAGGAAGGAAAGAATGTCATGGGAAATCGCCCAAACGTGTATACACATATGTGCATAGAAGTGAACTATAGCAGTGAACTATTGCTGATTTTTGGCTTTTAAAAGAATGAACATGTACAGTATAACTCCATGAAAAACATAAAATCAATGATTAAAGAGTCTAAATTTGCAATGGAATATTAATAGTAGAGAAACAATAATATTTTGCCACAATTTGGTAAAATGATACAATTTGGCAAATTTTGACTAAATACTATTGATTTTACACCATATTCTATTGTGAATTTGAACTATTTAATGATTTTATGGTGTTTTTTTATTGAGTTATAAGTTATGTACATGTAATATAGACATTATCACTACTGTATCATGAAAAGGAAAACAAACATGAATTTAACTGATATTTAGTCAGGTTGCTTGAATTCTAAATGCTTGAAAGGAAACCTGAATTCAAGAGGTACTGTGTAATTATACTGATCAAATGTTGTACATGAAAACAAGCAGCCCCTCTCCCCCAATAAATAATAAGCATTCCCTTGGTATTGTATACAAAAAGTGGAATATTTTTGAAATACTAACCAATATTTCTTTCTGTTTTGTATCCATCATTTCCATCATCATCGACACACTCGGCAAATGTTTCTTACAAAAAGCAAGTACAGTACACTAGTTTTATATGACTAATCATATTTAACCCATTGAGTTGCATTGCACCCTGATGCACCCTACTTTAGTATTTTACTCTGTCTAATGCCAGACAATTTTACTCGTCAAGGGGAGAGCGCTGGCGCTTAATGGGTTAACTGGCCTATCTGCCCATGTGTCTAGTTAACTGGCCTATCTGCTCATGTGTCTAGTTAACTGGCCTATTTGTCCATGTGTCTAGTTAACCCATTGAGTTGCATTGCACCCTGATGCACCCTACTTTAGTATTTTACTCTGTCTAACGCTCGACGATTTTACTTGTCAAGGGGAGAGCGCTGGTGCTTAATGGGTTAAAACCTGTAAGTGGTAATGCACCCCGATGTGCCTGAGTTTATTATTTTACCTGTTTGTATGCACATCGATTCCCACACATGCGTCACACAACCGCTTAGCACATCAAAGCGCCTGGGACAAGGCTGACTCTAATGCCAGACTTGTCAAGGGTCGAGTGCTGCCATTCATATATATTAGCAGAAAATTATAATTAAAAGAGATGTAATAATACTGGTATATTATCAATTTATCTCTGCAATCAGTAAAGACTGATGTAGTCTCAACATTCACAACCAAATTTATTGCTACTCCCTTCTAGTAATTTATTTATAAACACTGCCCCCTTATTTTTGCCCCTCCCCCCTCCATAAAATAATGACGGGTCCTTATAGACAGTTAAATAAAGAGAATTGCATTGCTCTAGTCTATAAGGGACAATCATGCAATAGATGTAATTGTTCTACACTGACAGAATTTCCTTATTAATATGTTACCTGTTTGGATATGGTTGGCAATGATTGGTCCTCATCAACTGATGCTATCCTCAAAGATATCATTGTATGCCTCTGCAAAGCCACTAAATGATACCCAACAATGATTACTAAATAATTAAAAAAGAAAGAATGACAGTAAACTCATAAAATTTCAACTAATACTGGAACAGTATTCCAGTGATTGTATGTCAATACACCATATTGAAGCAATTTATGCAGGGCATTCTTAATTGTGCATCATTCATCATGTTTTGTCATGTCGCCTAGGCCTAGGGTTGGTCAATAATAATGAAAAATACGTATAGTATACATTAGGCAAAAACTCCATTTGGGAGGGGGCTGCCCATGTCTTCTGTTCAAGTCTGTTGCTTATGATGATACAGGCATACTGGTTACTATTTACCTTAGAGACGGGAACCATTTGTATAATTTTAAATCAATGTAAGTGACGTTGCTAACTTCAACCACATCAACTCCCATTTCCTCAGGATAAAAATGAGTTCCCAGTTTGTCAGAGAAATTGCAAACCCCATACACGCAAGAACAATTTCTGCACTCCAGCGAAATTTTAGAGCACGGTATCGGACCATCCGTCGTAAGAATTTTAACTTTAGCAGGATAATTCTGCATTGTCAATAATTTTTGGCATCGAAGGCATGTTCTTATGTACTGTTTAATAAACGAGCAGGAGTGTTTTATTAGGTTTAAAGCCATGAGGGCGCAGAGTGAGTGGCTTTAGACCTAATAAAACACGACCTGCGAGTTTATTAAACGGCTTCAAACATGACTACAAATTCAATAGATATACTGCCTTATTGGTATTCTTTATATAAAGAATACTAATGAGGACACGACTGCAATAGATACTGCTTAATTAGTATTCTTTATATAAAGAATACTAATTAGGAGTGTTTTATCAGGTTTAAAGCCACTGCATGTGACATATTATGGTTGACATGATTTGCCAATAAGCTTATGAATTATTAATGAGTTTTTGAAAGGTGGTGTTAAAAACCTATTAAATGGAATATTCTCTTTCTTCGTCAATGTCCAAATATCATCCATGTTATCTTGCTTTGAAAGAAAAGAACAGTAGTGTGTTTCAATAAATTTGACATAGTCTCCAATGTCTTCGATTGACAAATCTGTGTCGCCGCAATGTGTCGAAGAGAGAGCGTTGAATATTTTGTGTATATATGTCAACCGCAGCGGAATACCATCTATAGTGCGATGAATGTTATTGGGAACATGCTGAATGGCAAATTTTAGGCTATCAAGCCTCTTGACCATGAGTTTACAAGCCAAAATTTGAAAAACTTCATGTTCCTGAAGTGGCGATACCGTGGCATTCGCATTCATCATCTGTTTGATGTCTACTTTTTGAAGTGCTGCTAAACGCTCACAAATGTCAACAAAAACACTGTCTTGTTCCGCCATCCTAGCTTTAACGTTGTCCAGGTCGAATGGAACAGACATTCTTTTTTTCTTGGATTTCTTAAACAACATGTTTTCTTTCTTAAACAACAAACCTGCAGCTAAACAGAGCGGCTGATTCAATACGAGACCGGATCCCACACTAAGCTTTGTCAAAACCCAGGGCTGAAATACGAGACCGGATAAACATGACATGTTTTTTTACTATTAACTAAGCTTTGTCGACCGTCACTATTCCAGACCGCCACTATCCCAGTCTTAACGTTGTTCATGTAGAATAAAACCGACATTCTTTTTTTTCTTTTTTTCGTGGCTTTCTTAATTAAACGACATGTTTTATACTTTTATAGTATAGTAAGCTTTGTCAAAACCCACAACTGAACAGAGCGGCTGAAATACGAGACCGGAATAAATATGCATTGTGCAGTTACGCGAGCACGCGTGCTCTGGCACTTTTTGTCCGCATTGCCGGTTTACTTCAGGCTGCATTTAGAATTTTCAGACAAATGATTATGCACAAATGGCTTGTAAATAAACGGATTAACATGGTTTTCGCTTTCGAACTCTTTATCGGTTAGGTTATGTTAATGCTATTGACTACATATAGGTACCTAGTAGGTGGCGTTGCACTTCCAGGTCACCTTGGCTTGCAACTTCGTCTTCACTGACCCACTGCCAATTGCTTTTGACATTCTCACTGTGTGCCTTCCGACAGCTATTACAAATTGTTGAAAAAACAACGTGTTTATAAGGCTTACACTAACATGCAAAGTTGAAAATAATTGCCAATATTGAAAGCAACTGGAAAATCAGTGGTATACTTACGCGCTCCAATGGGAACTAGGACCCCGAACACTTTCCAAACGTCTTGCGCGATTGCAAGAGTGAATGCGCGATCTGTTTTGGCTGCCTTGTGCCCTCCCTTGTGGCCAGGATACTTGCAAGCATTTGGCTTGACCAGTATTGACCAAGATGTGCACGGTGCTTGGCACAAATAAACATATCCCTCTCCTGTGTCTCGGGCATACAAAACAACCCTAACCGCGCTAATATTAGATCTTCCTCTGAAATGGCCTCGTGGCCCAAATGGCAACAAGACAAATGGCTGTTTATATCACTGGTACATTTGTCCAGTGAAACAAGTTCTGCTTTGCTTCGAAATTCTCCACAACCTCCGAATTCTCTCGTTTTCAAAAAGCAACTCGACATAGTCATAGCTAGCCTGCGAATACAGATTTATATCGTTTATTATTATAATTATTATATTAACTCCCCCCAGTGAAATAAGCGATATAAATAGATTCTGTATTCGCAGGCTGAGTCATAGCTTACTCCGGTCTCTACCATATTAACAAAGGTGTGTCACATTGCACTGCATTTATCTATCTAATTTGAATATGAATGTGCTAGAAAAGCAATATCAAGCCAAATTTTGGCGAGGAAATCAGGAATAGAGTGAAGAAAAACAACTCGGGTCGTTATTGTTTTAGATAAAAAAACGGCTACGCTGACGCATTTACTTATACACTTTTATGCTGGTGCATGCAGCGATCAAATCAACTGATAAACACAACTTAGCATTTGAGCCTTTGCGACGGAGTGGGAATGGCTGGCAAATAAACAAGCCTAGTTTGAAATTATTAAGGCGACGGGTGTGGCTTTTATTCATATAACAAAACAAATCGTTTTACAATCAAGTACAAAATTCATAACCATATTGATTATTGATAAAATCGTAATTACACTGATCAAAAACTTCGGTGGGGCTAGTTACGACTCTACCACAGACTGTGGCAAGCCTTCAGTATGTTTACTTGGTTTTATATAACAGAGAAGTTGCATTATTTTCCGGAGTTGCAACAGAGTTTGCATTTATACGTGCAAATAAGATAAATTGTTTCACTTGTTTTTCACCGGTGCTTATGACGTTGCAGGGTTTCCTCTGCAGAACAGCTCCATATAGCTAGCTAAAATTTGGTTTTGCTGCAATATTCTAAACCTATTTTCATATAAACTTGCGTAGATAATTTATGTATCTTTATTTAGGTGAATTTAAGGAATAACTCTGGGAATAATTCAAGCCGAGAGCAGTTCTTAGGCAAGCAATTGATGAATGTCAGTGCGAATTACGAAGTGTTATTTTATGTAAACAAAATGCTGACTTGACCAAATTGAACTTCTCGCTGCTTTGCACACAGCGACATACCCGAAGGTTTGACTTTAGAACCTTGGAGATAAAGTTATCTTCTGCATATGGATGTAATTTTTTATTTCAATTTTGGTTGAACAAATGCTAATTTTGCTCCCGAACTTTGTTATACTTTAGTGCACTTCCGCAACCTGCACAGAGGGGTGGCGGCTTTCAAGACTGACATCTTATCAACTAAGCAATCAATGAATTTGACATCTGTATGTTTTTATAAGTTAAGATGAATCAAACAAATGGCAAATAAAACGTTTTGCCAGCGCGTTTAGTTTTATTATGGTGCAGTCCTAAAGATTGTGAAATTTCGGCCTTGAAAGGGATAACCAGATGAACTGGCTCAGCACAAGTATGTTCGAGCTTCTAGGAAAGCGAAAAAAAAAATTTTCAAAAAAGTATTCCATTTTTATTAGTTCTGTACCAAACCCTTTTGATGTGCCAAGTCTCAGAGAAATTGGTTTTCTGACCCGAAGTTTGACGGACCGCTCTTAGAGAGACTGCCACTTAAAAACCATAATGATAAAATAACAGTTGAAAATCGATCCCCAACTATTAACAACTTAAAAGGTTTTGTAATGGCTCATTTAAATATTGCCTCTCTTCCCAAACATATTGATGAATTAAGATTACATTTAACTAAACAGCCCCTAGATATTTTGAGTATCAATGAAACAAAGATTAGATGACACAATTAACGATGGTTTAATACACTTAAATGGTTATGACGTTTTACGTAAGGACAGAAATAGAATGGGCGGTGGGAGTAGCTATTTACTTTAGAGATAATATAAATGTTAAAAACCGAAATGATGTTGTGCCTGACTCTCTAGAAGCGTTATGTGTTGAAGTTCGGAAACCTAAGAGCAAGCCAATTCTAATTGTGAGTTGTTATCGTCTGCCAAATTCAAATCATGAAGTCTTAAAAAGTTAATTGAAAATCTTATTAAAAACTTGGACAATGAAGAAAAAGAAATTGTGATTTTGGGAGACTTTAACTATGATCTATTAAATCAATCAGTTACACGCAATCCTGACAATTTTTCAGAAATATTAAATTTATATCAATTGCATCAATTAATTAATGAACCTACTCGAATAACAGAGACGTTGTGATAACAAACAAGCCTGAAAATTATTTAAAATCTGGAGTTATACACATTGGAATAAGTGACCATAGTCTGGTATACACATGTCGAAAACTATCTGTGCCTAAAAGTAAACATAAAGTAGTTGTTACATGTTGTTTAAAAAATTATAACAGTCATGAATTCAATGAAGATTTAAAATACAATTTTGAAAATTTTGATTTTGATACATCAGACCCAAATGAAATGTGGGAATCTTGGAAAAATATCTTTAACATGGTACTTGAAAAACATGCACCGACTAGAATACATAAAGGCAGGAGTGAATATGTACCCTGGCTAACAAGTAATATAAAAAAGAGCATGTACCACTGTGATTACTTAAAAAATGACAATTAAGCACAATTCTCTACATTATCACAAAGCATTTAAGACACAAAGGAATAAAGTCAACAAAACTATAAAGGAATCTAAATCTGAATACTTTTGAAATAAAATAAGAAATGTGGTGCTGTATAAATCAGTTCATTGGGAAAAGATAAAAAACAACCGATATACTAAATATAGATCATAACGGTGTACCTATTCATGATCAGGAAGAAATTACCAATTTATTTAATGAATATTGCTCTGAAATTAGAGAGAAACTATCAGGAGAAATTCACTCTACAAATGCAAAATATGCTGACTACATAAAAGCACAATGAGTGTACATTTGACTTTGTAAAAATTGCACAGGATGAAGTACTGAATTAAAAAAATTAAAAGCCAACAAGGGTTTTACCAGGGGCGGATCTAGGGGTCGTCAAACCAGTCACGCGACTAACGTAAAAATTGCAAACTTAATTAAAGTCTTAAATATTAGACCAATAGTCCAGTTATTTTTTATCATGCAGCGACACCTTATAATAGTCCAGTATCTATTATCATGCAGCGCTAGCAATTAACATTCCAATTGAACTGTAGTCCAGTGATCAAATTTCATACAGTGGTTGAGCCGACGAGCTTAGTCAAGTCAATGAGCAGCTGACATACGCAAAGTTGGTCAGTCAAAAAGTCGAAATCCAGTGTTCTGATTGGTCTAGACGCTTATTGCCATGGAAACAAGCGATTTTTTGCGATTTTGACTGATCTGTGGGGAGTTCTGACCGATTTACAAAAGTCAGGGGTGCTCCATTAGTCGGAATATCATTAATATTTGACGCGTGGTAAAGTCTTTCCGAGCGCGCGCTCATTCGAAGTGCCATGTTGTAGCTTTGTCGAAAGATTCAATTTAAAGATATCTACGGAAAATTCGGAAATATCTGCTGCTCCAGACTCCAATCCTTGTAGTATTCACGAAACGGTTCAGTCCGTATTTGCGGTGAATGATTTAGCTGTCTTACAAGACTGTTGCGCTGATCTTGGGAAGAAAATCAACGCTAAATATCGGAGAGTTCCATTCAGTGAGCAGTTGCTAAGAGGCGTAAGCGCCACGAATAGCACGAACTACAGTTTGACTGTTTGAGTAGAAGTATTGGCGCCAAGATCTTTATTCTGAAGTGCAATAAGGTAAATTTAATGTGATATGTAAATTTTATTTCGTTTTAGACAGCATAACAATATTTATAAGCGAATGCATATGTAAATGCATTATGTAAAATTGTAACTTGAATACGCGTATCTTGATTTAGATTTAGCTATGAATTTTGATTTACACAACAAATTTGCATATTTGTAATTCTGCGGTTGAAGGTCCGTCAGAACTCAGAAGGCTGTTAATATGGAGGATAACCTATATAAAT